CCAAAAGTTCCAGAAAATATCAACATTTCATTTGAGTCAAATATCACTAATAAATCCCTAAGAAGAAGAACCCAACAAACACACCATGACTACATATCTGCAGTCAATAACAGACAAAGCTGTTTTGTTTGGAGAAACAAACGCGGTGAAAACGGACGGCGGACATACAACAATTTGGACTGACAATCACCCGACAACCAACCCCTGTGGTTGGCGTCATCGAATTCGGAACTTCTGTTTCTCAGTCTGCCTACCTCTATCCAGAGAGATCAAAGATAGATGCATTCACTGTGACTAATTCAGGTCTGATGGGCATAGATCTCAAGTAAATAAGGCTAAAAGTTTGCACAAATTCCAAAACCACTTTTACGCTGAGACGATTACTATCTCCAGCTATTTGTCAGTGAAGTGGACAAAGCGAGATGTAAGTGCACTCGAGTGAATAAGGAAAACGGAGGTGCTGTGACACATGTGCACTGATATAGGCTGACGTTGGGGCCCAGTTCCTCTCGCAATAACTGAGCCAAGGTCTCAAGTAGCCAGCACAACTGGTTTGTGGCAAGAAACACCATTCCGGAAGCGTCTACCGAACTACGACCTCTGGGCAGTAAAACCCCTCAACTGATACACGCTCGTCTGGTACAGTCATCAACTGAACCGAGGGATATGCTAGATGGTCTGTACCGAAGCACAGAATCAATGAACGTCAGTTCTCTTCCCAACGGAGCTCACTAGAGGCCCCGCACTTGAGAGGGCCAGATTTTCTACTTATCTGCTCCAAGTGAATAAACAACACACCTGCATTGACTGCTCACGTAGACATCAGAATGAAAGTAGATAATGGCCGCAAACTCGCATGCTTACCTGGAAAATTTGATTGTGAACTTACATCGTGAGCGTGCTGTTGAAGTTGGGCTATGATAACAAATGAAAGTGGGGTACAAATTACGCCCAAATGTATTGATTTAAACAGGCCAGACCATTGGTGGATTTCAAGTTAACACTTGAGAATCTCCCAAATTGTTATTTAGAAAGACTGTTGCAGTACAGAGAATATCAATCCAACCGAATCCAAAGACAGGAACAGGTTCCGCTTTAGTTTTAGCTGAAGAACCACGCAAATAAAAAAATGTTGGCAAATGGTATCAGTCTCACGAGCAGACCAATCGTGTGTGATTTCTGGCTAAAATAAGGAGAAAAAACAGGCCCCTTGGAAGAAATTAAAAATGGCGAAAACAGTTACCACCAACAAATGGATTTGAAGCAAATTCTCAAAACTGCCTGCAGGCCAAGATGATTTCTACATGAACACCGAAATTGACACCAACATCAGATGAGAACATTGTTGCTTCGCTGCCAAACAACCACGCCAAATTACTTCAACAAAGCAGCTCGACTGTTCCTGTCCAGGCTTAGGCAAAACTGGCAGTATCCCTGCCTTCGTGTGGCATGACGCTAACCACTGAAAGGGTGCTACGGCTGAACGGCCACTTTTTCAAGAAAAAAAAGCCTTATAATGCAAAGAAATAAATGGATCAGAGAGGGGATCTTGGGCTAGCATACATAAAACATACGAGGAGCACTCAGTCAGACAATCTGGATAGAAACTTACAGCGTCAACACCACTGTCAATGGTGAGTCACCATAACGTCCAGTGTCTCTAGTCGTAACATGGCTCCCATCGTGAAAGGCGAACAACAGCGACAGCCCCCAAAATTTTCGTAACGCCATCCATTTTCTTTCGATATGTTAAGGTCTATACACTTCTAGGTTTCTACAACTCCGAATCAGGCACGGCCTCGGCAGGCGGTAAACTGGTACGTGTAACACATGGCCAAGCCAACTTAGTTTGCAATACTGGATGCACTTTTCGAATGAAGTGCCATCTGCTTCGTCCGAAACGCCTCTTCTTATCACTGTATTGCGAGTTTGTTGGTTCCAGCCAAATTCAGCTTTAGTTCTGAGACACCGATGATCAAAGACCTGAAGATATCTCAGTTAATCCACTCGAAGTGACCAAATCTCGAAGCCATACAAAAATACAGCTCGTGTCGTCGTCTACAATGCGCGTTCAAAGGCCACGTCCCATGGCATGAATTCGCATGTTGAGTGCGAAGCGCACGCAAAAGAGATGGATCACCTATCAGCTTTCATAGCAGTATTTGCGCTCCCTGCTGCTCTTGAAAAATTACAATGTCCTATGCATATTCAGGCCGACAAGATCCTTGCTGAGAGAGATCTTGGAGACTTTCCGGTAATCGCCTCATAACTTCATCAATAAAGGAATAAAATAAAAGCGGAGAAAGCGGATATCGTCGTCGGACACCAATGCCCGAAGGAAGGCATTTGGCGAACTCACCAGACACTCCAAGCATCTTGCATACCCTGATGCGCAAGCATGTTGAAAAGAACTAAGGTTTATTCCCGAAATGCTCATTCCCGAACCCGTCAAGACATCCAATTTCTCTCCTCAGGGCCTCGTTGCTGGTAGGGAACCCGGCTGTCCAACTACAGGATTTCAGTCGATTTGGTCGGGAATATGTTCACTCCAACGTTTCATGCACTCTCCTTTTTTGCGGCTACACGGACCGTTTTTATTATTGATTTTTCTGCTCACTGGAGGCTTGTTTGGGTTCCTTGCGCGTATTTACTTGAAAAGTTAATGTACGTTTCAAGGGCTTCTCGCCTCATCCATCTATTCAACTTCCTGCATCAACACAGGTGCTCAATTTTTACCTGAAGCCTGAAGACGCATTGCTGCGTTGTACTGTCAGTCAGAAGGAATACGTATCCGAGCTTCGAGCATGTTTAGAGTGGTCTCCGAATTCCGGTGTCTCGATCCGGTTAGTTGCATGGTTGCAGAGGCGAAGCCCCCGGAATCTTGCAGGGTTGTAGATGGTTCTCTATAGTAAGATGATTTCAAGAAAGGTCTTCGATAGGTGAATTTGGTAGGTTTGCTTCGCATGAGGGTCGAAGAACTTCTCAGTTGCCAGGCGAGTTGTGCGCATCTTACCATTTCCGGAAAATCGCAAAGAGAACATGCGCATTATCCCAGCGTTCAGCTGTAGCACTCTTCCGGTGCCTAGCTGCCATGCCATCCGAAGGAAGCACGAGGGCTGGGATACTGCCAGGTTGCCCAAGCCTAGACAGGGGACGTCGAGTAGCGGAGGTCGGATTAGAACCACGGACCTTCCGGTCAGTAAATTTGCGCTCTAACCACTTGGGCCATCTCGCCCGCATTATCCGAATCCATATAGATGTTCCACAAGAGGCGACAGTTAGCGATTGACCCAAGCCATCAATAGCTAATGGTGGTATGATCTATTCGTGTTGCAAGTTGGCTCGATTGGGAGGGCAAGCGGCTTTGGTTGTTTCTGAATTTAGTATTAAACAGAGACATACTGGGGTGAGCGTATGACTGCATCAGGCGTTCGTCGTTGTCCGTACGTCCCGATTCCAGTCTTAGGAAAGGACGCGACTGAGCCTCAGCACAACCAAGTCTACTTACCTGTGCAGTCATATCTCCGGAAACCACAACAATATTTGAAGTCAGAGTCGACTGCAACAAGGTGCTCAAAGCGTCGGAAAAACTGTTTTCGAGTGTATCAGAGCTACAGTCTGTTGGGTTATAAGCGGATACGATGAGCAGACAACCATCATCAGCGCCTCTATGGGATTCACTCACAAAAGTTGCCACAAAAATATCAAGGGCCAACTATTAGACCAGAGACCCTTCAACCCCTTTGCTTAGAATACTTCCAACCCCAGCATATCCACTCGCAGCAGCTTCTTGATCGTCAGCGGTGCACATCCGAAAGCGAGCGGAAACCGACTGGGAGGTCAGTTGAAAAATCGGACTTAGCCTTTGAATTGTCGCTTCAGACAGGTGGCACAATTACTAGAAAGCTGGTCCACTGTACATGGAGAAGTTTTTTGTTCAGCTTACCACAATATGAACGTAAAAGGCTGTCACATGAACTGAGCGTCGGTATTTGAAAATGGATTTCGAGGTATCTGTGACCATGCCGGTGGTATCAAACGTAGATGATGGAGCTAACGGGTAGTGTCCTCAATCCGCAGACTTTGGTTAAAAAAACCCAACCCCAAGATCGTGATTGTTTGCATAAGACTGTCAAAGCAGCCTAGGTTTTTAAGGATCAAGTGGCCACACGTGTCCTAACGCAACCTGGAGGACCAAGTTACGGAATTCGTCAGACATTTACTCACTGACCAACCTGGCTGTAAGGGTGCCACTCACACACTCCTCACTATAGCTCATTGAGTCATGGAGGCGCACAAGCTGTCACCAATCTCTTTGTGATAGAGGGCGTTGGGCAGTTCAGCTTATTAAAGGGAGGAATGTGATTCTGCTACCTCTTTTTTGCTTGATGTTAGCTCCCATCGTGAAATTCTACTGAAGTCAGCTACCCGAACAAGCACGCAAGGATACCGTACGGCAGACGCGTCTGCCGTAATTTCAAAATGTTAGTCAGTGTTTTGGGAACTGGTGGAAATCGATCTCGAAATGGAAATTTGGTTGTTAATGAGAGTAAATTGTCTCACAATAGCTTTTCGTGACATTCTCTGTTCATGTTTTGTAACCCACCTGATGTTATTTTCATGCGAAGAGCATCACCGATATTCGACGGCCTAGCTGGACACGCCGAAGAGTCAGACGTAGGCAGGAAAAGATAACCACTGAAGAGTTTGGCCAAAACATCCGTCGGATTAATGTTTTGATCTATTACTGGCCTTGAACTAAGAACGATAGACCGTCTAGAACGTAGAAATCAACAACCAGTAAGCGGAACCTCACTATCAGTATTTTGGCAAGTTTCTCACTAGTGGTGAAAGGCTTTTAGATGAAACTGAACAAGTTTCCTTTACCATACCACTAATCAGAAGATTTATTAAAGTATTAAAAACACGACTTCATTTATTGATTGTAAGCCTGTTCTGGCTTGGCAGTTGAGGTAGCTGTGCGCTTTTCTTAGGCTGTGATGCAAATAATAGCTGTCAGTCATTGTGCAGCAGCCGTCGGCAAATTTACCGTTAATTCCCTGGGTTACACAGGTGCGGTATTGAACATGAAGTCGTCAAAATACGTTATTGGGTTGCCTTCACTGTCCACGGAATACCCGTGAGTTGTCCAGGCGATTCCGCAGGCTGCTGGTTTTCAGGCGCATCGATCGCTGTCGCGTCAAACCCGACGCAAAAGTGCGCACAGGCAACCAAGTAGCTACGCTTCGGTGTGTCTAGGTGTGATAGATAACCGACCAATCGCCTATGAGAAGGACCAGATATTTCCTTGACACATGTGCTTTTCCAAACACTATTGGTTAGCAAGAGCAATCCAATCAGCCAACTGGGTGGCATCAAAGGCGCGTCAAACGTGGATCGACTGACACGGAAGTCTTTGCAGCGGACGATGATCCTGTCGAAATTATTCAGACCAGGCTCCATTGTGATCCACCGGTTCACATCTACTGCCAATCAAGCGGACTTTGTATCTCGACTGAAACATAATTACTTTGTCAGGAACTATCATGTCACCTTTCTGATTTGTGTGTTTAGCACTGGACTTTTGGCAATGCTCACGTGCAGCATAATCAACGTTGTCGACAATCCAGACGTACGCACTCCATTTAGCAAAATTCCAAGGAACGAAGCCTACTTTGATCGCCTATCGTTCGGTTCATTTCGGGGGACGTTGGAAACAAAACCACCCGTACGTATGCACTGGGACGGCACGATTGAGCATCCGTATGACCCAGAAGAGCCAGTCACCAAACCTACCGCCGCACAGAAGTAGTACGCATGGTTTGTTCACCTGAGCACCTGAACCGAATATTCACTCGGACTTTTTCGCTCGGGCTACTGTGTCAGCGATTTCTTGTGTATTTGGGCTGACTGCTTCTTCGTGCAGGTACTTTGTGCACATTTGTTGCAAATTAACTACGTTATTTCTCTGAATTTTATGGATTCCTTGGTTCGCTAGTGTCGTGAGCCGATGAATGTAGGGCGCCGCCGTGGTTCACTTCAATATATAGATTAGAATACATATGCTTACGTACTTCATTCCACTATGGGTTGTTCTTTGAGGATGGATTGCGTTATCATCTATGAAGATCTTTGAATAGAAATATTTGGATGCTTTAGTGTCATGCGATATCTTAGCGAGGCATCCTCCCAAAGTACCGTTAACAAAATTGTTGAAGGCTAGTCAAACAATGCTCCCTTTTCGCATCACACATTTTTCGAAAGTAGACCGAGCTCGCTGTGCACTATCAGTCTGATAGCATTCCACATCAGCCTTTAACTGAATTTGTTTGTCCACTGGTGTCCCTATCCAAACCATCTCAACCGTGGGCTAAGTTGCTGGGTCATTTCCTGTCGGTGTCTGGGGGCCTGGTAATATACCAGCCAACCTACAGCCATAGTACAGCTAACGGTACCCAGTAAACACGTCACCGCCGCACCACCGGTGGCAAATAGGGGTGGCGTGCTACACTTGCCACCGATAGCTCCACCGGTGGCTAAAAGCGGCCAAAGGTGGCAACCCGAAAACTTCATGATATATTTAATCGGTGGTGCATTCAAACAAATCGGTTTCAAAAATTACTTCGTAAATGGAGCTCCAGTATCCAGAGTATCATGTTACATTTGTTTTCAGAAGGCTTTTATGCAGCACATGCTATGTTTGGCCTCTATTCACCAACAAAATCAGTGGCAAAGCTAGCCACCGGTGGCACTGTTTACTGGGTACTCTTGTATCACATCACCAGCCGGGTCGCCTTGACTGCGGCATAACTAACTAAGTAAGTAAATAAGTAAATAGTTCAGCTGTAGCACCCTTTCAATGTCTAGCTGCCACTCAACTAAGGGAGAACGAGGGTTGGAATACTATCAGATTGCCCAAGCTCAGATGGGGACGTCGAGAGGCAGAGGTTGGGTTCGAACCACAGATCTTCCGGTCAATAAATTCGCGCTCTAACGACTGAGGCATCTCACGGCATACAACAGAGCGGGTAACCGAAAGCGCTACTACCGGCTTATCCCTTTTCGCACGCACGTGTTTCATCCTATACCTTAGTCCATCCGATTTGGATGATCTCTCCAAAGGTCCCAGCTTTAGGACTGACCAATGCTTGAGGAGCTTCGTGTTTAGTGGCAGATTATGTACGTTGGAATTCAGTTCCAACACCAACGGCTTCTAAGTCTCTTCAAACCCCGAAAGTCGGCTTGCTTAGCTGGCTTTAATGTTCTCACACTGAAGCTAGCAGGACAACAAGTGGCTCTTGCTCGTACGCTTGGTTCCCAAAATTGATATATGCTGTCTGTCAGAGATAGGGGAGATAGGTTCTCGTTGCGCACCTCTGGTGATGCGGAGGTCGCTGCATATGCTGGGGTGACCGAAGGTCCGTGGTTCGAACCCGACCTCCGCCACTCGACTTCCCCTGTCTAGGCTTGGGGGACCTGGCAGGAGGTCGCTGCATATGCTGGGGTGACCGAAGGTCCGTGGTTCGAACCCGACCTCCGCCACTCGACTTCCCCTGTCTAGGCTTGGGCGACCTGGCAGTATCCCAGCCCTCGTGCCTCCTTCGTGTGGCATGGCAGCTAGGCACCGAGAGGGTGCTACAGCTGGACGATTTTTTTTGGGGGGAGGGGGGCGACCGAGTGGAAGAGTACTTGCGTGGGTAACAGTAGATAGTGTGTGCTTACGTCTCAACTAACTGTAGCTCTTTTACAATGGGATATAGAGTCGGGCATCTTTGTGGTTGTTGGAGGCATAAATGTCCAGGTAGGTTTTCTAAGCGCTGTGTAGGCAAAGTTGGGTGGTCGTCTTGGGTTGTACACCAGACGCACAGGCAACGGCGAGATGTGTCCGATCCCAGTTTGTGACGCCTTAGTACCAGTTTTCATAATAGATGAGATCGCTTGACTACGTGGCGCCCACCAATTAACCAGCCCACAATCCAAATAGACGGGTGGTGATGTTCGATCATTACCTGCCACTGCTTTTAGAATACTACCATGGCCTCCGACCATACACTTCTCCCGAGCCGTTTTCACTGCGCTACGCACATCTCGTTTAGCTGTTGAGAAGCTACTGGACCCAGAAATCAAAAAGTTTATCACAGCCGGCTCCGTCAAAGCCTGTCGCATAGTCCGATATCGGATGATAGCTGTAACTAAGAGCAACAGATACACAAATCGCTACTCACAGACAATTTCTGCCTGCTGTCCAACATCAGCCAAACGTTTTATTTCTGATAGGACCATAGCCTTGCTGAAGTCCCGGAGACAGATTCCATCAGGCCGCGACCACAACTCAACCCGATGCATTATCTCACACAAGCTGTCCATACAGACCAAGAGGTTTCGTGGACCCGGAGAGCTCCAGAGCTGAACGCGCTTTGCTGGATGGGATTCCAGGGATCAATCGTCTTTGCGCTCTTCGGTTAACCTGTTCAGTCAAGTTCAACGTTACTCGATATAAAACCCAGTGTTGGCGTATACTCCAGGTGACATAGGATTGCTAAAAGTGATACTTTCTACCGAGATTTATGCAGGCGCATTCGTTAAGCAGGAAGCAGTGGAGTGTCATCCTTTCAGAAGATTTGAATGCCCTAGTTGTCTGAGCACCTTGGAATCACATCTGGGTGGTCCATTAGGAGGGCAACTTATCCACGTGTGTGCTAACCACAAACTTTCTGGCTAGTGCGAATTTTTAGCATAAATCTTCGCATTCATATCGCCCGCAAGGATCACACTGTCAGTACTTCTTGCCCGGCGAATGGGCCCTCATAAGTTTCGATAGAAAGCATCCTTTTCAGCATCAGAACGGTAGTCCTTTGGGGCATGTGCCGTCACTACGAATGGGTACCGGATTTTTGTTGAGTCGCATTGAATTTGATTAAACTAGATAACCGGACGTAGCAAAGACCGCTATTCACTAGAAACCAATCCCTCAAGGCGCTTTTCTCTCGGGGTCTGAATGCAACTCCCACGCAAAACATTTCACTCGTCATCGAATCTGGATCACCGGACACACGGAGATAAAAATCTGATAGAGCTGATTTCGTCATTAGCTTTTAAGGATGCTCGACCACCATTGGGTGTTGCATCCTTATTTCAGAAATAGCATACCTGACCTGGTTTGTTCAATTCTGTTATTGATGAGATTATGAGGCGATCACCGGAAAATCTCCAAGATCTCTCTGAGCAAAGATCTTGTCGACCTGAATATACGGGAAATGCAAATGCTTCTGTAAAACCTAACTGAGGTTATCCACTCCTTCGGCACGTGCTTTGCGCTCACAAAGTTCAAGGTCGTGTTTTGGGACCGGTCATTGGAAACGCCCCTGACAATTCAAGGAATGACGATGGAAGTGGATGATGCATCAGGCTTGACGCTAGTGTGACAAACGAAGACAACACACGTATCCCAAAGACCATTGCGCCATTTGTGGCATCATAAAGGTACCTCACTGGGTCTCAAAGGACATCATCATTGACAGCATGCCATCAGTGTTCAATACCGATGCTTCGCTGCCGTACAACCATGAATTTTTGGTAGATTTATTGTGAAGGAAAGAATGAAGGTGGACTAGGAAGGGACTTAATGCTGGCTTACTACAATCATTCCGAGGTGTCTACACCGGACGTCCATTCGGGTAGTCTGGATAGAAACTGACAACAAGAACGCAACTGACATCGGTTGGCAGCCATATCTTGCAGCGTCTCCAACCAGACGCAGTGAGGATCACGCGGTCCCCATCTTGTAAGGCCAGTAGAACTGACAACACCCAAACGTTTCGTGATTTCTTTCATGCCCCTCTGCCAGGTCAAGATATGGCCACCTCTGATTCCACCACTCTGAATTGGGCATGGAAAACAGCACTCTCTTCGGCATACGCAACACATGCCCCAACCAACGCAGCTTCTGGTGCTGGATACATTTTACAATAGAAGTGCCCGTGGCACAACCGGAAACTCGCTTTCTGATTCCCTCGGATACGCCGACACAAAGCCACACGAGCTATGGTCCTTAGACAATGATTGTTCAACACCTGAAGATGTCTCAGTTCCGCCGCTCGAACAGGTCAAGTCTCAGCCATATAACAAAACCGCCCGCACTGTAGCTTGATACACACGTCCCTTCAGATGCATGGATAAGCCATTCTGACGCCATATGTGTCTCAAGTTAGCAAACGCGACCCGAGCCTCGCATATTCGTGCATTGACCTCATCTGGCACGGTACAATCAGAACTAATACAACTTCGAGATGCGTGAAACACTCCACAACTTCCAATGTCTCTCCCTGAATTGTAAGTTGCGTCGTCAAGGTTTTCGTCACAGGGTATTAGAACACCGGGGCTTTAGAGACCTTCCAATGTTAGTCTCATTATTTAATCGATCACGAATTCGAACAGGAATGGGGAGAATGAGCATCCCTGACGGACACCACTTTGCGGTGGCCCGCCGCATACATTCACGCATCGGGAAGTCTGGGAATACAAGGAGCTTATGTTCACGAACTTGGTGGGCAAGCGTGTCAAGAAGAATAGACTGGAAAGCCGAGTCGAATGCGCCTTGGAAATCCCGGAACACTCGAGTTGTGGGTCGCTTATATGTATAGCGTTGTTCTAGCACCTGATAGTGTGAAGATTTGGTCAATGCAACTTCTACCAGGCCGGAATCCGGCTTGCTACTTTCTAGTCAGTGTTTCACGAGCTACCGTGAGGTGACGAAGCGCAATTGACGCCAACAGTCTCGTCACTACGAGCCCCCTTTTTTTTGAAAATCGG